CAGGAACACTTTAATTTTTGTCTGTTTGCAAATTATTTTAAAAAAAGCTTTCAGTACTCAACTTGTTTTTGTTTTACATTTTTTATTATTAATTTACTATAACCAAGCCCTTAGAATAAAGTAAAGCAATATAATAAATATAGGCTTTATCCCCTGAGGTCTCTTTACTTCTCTTTCATGACAGGGAGAGCAAGTAAGTGAAAGAAAAAAATATTTCCAAATATAAATGTTCCTTTTTTTAACCTTCTGTTCACAGAAAAAGCATGTTCCCATTTGTCAAAAAACTGCTGCTAAAAAAAGAAAAACGTTTGACTCCAGCAGACAAAGAGCAGAAGGAACTGATATTTCCACAGTAAAACCTCTGAAGCCACGGGTAAGTACATAAATACTGAAATACAGTTATTATTAAAAAAATTATGTAATATTGGTTGGAAATATATTATGATCTTACAAGCTTTTAGAAACTTATTTGAAGTAGTGTACTCTGATTTTTTTTCTTTTTCTTTGATTAAAGAACTGATAATTGCTTTAAATGCCCATCTTGCATAATATCTCTTTTGTCTTGGCATTACCTATATCATCAAATCAAAATGCTGATTTTAAACTTCATATTTTACTGAATTAAGAATGTTTATTATTTATTATTATACAGGGCTGCAGGCTAGATTTGGAAGAAGGTAGAGGCAAATAATTTATGCAGTACTGCCAAGAAAATTGAAAGTGCACGATGTGTTCATTAAGTTATCAGCTTGACTGAAGGAGATTCTACCATTTTGCCATATACTACAGAAGCTATTATATGAGCTCATATTCCTGAAGAATTGCAGCCAATAATGAAAACTAGAACATGGTAGTGTTATGCTATAAATAATGCAAGACTTCAGCTCTTGATTTTCTGGGATAAGTTTTTTTAAAGATAACTGAAAGAAGAGCAAGTAATATAACTGTGTTCTATTGAATAATATTGCATCTCAAAAGACTAGCTTTCTCTGTAAGAAAAACATACAAAACACATAATTCTGTACTCTACTAGATATTTTTTGTTGGGGTTAAAGTAGGCAGGTCTAATGCTTTAAATCAGCAGAGTTGTGCATTTCTTGTATATTCCTATGTCAGCAGCAGTTACAGATAGTCCTCACTTAACGACCGTTCATTTAACAACGGTTTGAAATTACAGAGGCCTCAGAAAGGGTGCTTTACAGCTCGTAAAGTACTTCTGGCCTTGTAAAATGTCATGTCACCCCACTCCCCGCATTTCAGGCACTTGACAACCGGCTCCTGAAGATTTGAGCTCCGTTCCTTCACACAACCGAGTGGGGAGGGGAAACCTTTTGGCAGCATGAAGGAATGGAGCTCAAATCCTGAAGAGGCTGTTCCTCCAGCCCAAGGAAGGATTTCCCATCCGTCCACAGAAGGGAGAGCAAACCCTTCAGCGGGCTTTAGGAATGTTTGAAAGCTAAAGGGCTGCCTGCCGGGAGGATTTCAGTTCTATGCGGAGCTGAAACTTCTGGCAGGCAGCCCTTTCGCTGTCAAAGGGCTGCCTGCTGGGAGGGTTTCTGCCCCACCCTGAGCTGAAATCCTTCAGCAGACAGCTTTTTCACTCCGTCTGCTTAAGGACCTGGGAGATGACTTAAGGACTGCAACCAGGAGTCCCCGGATTGCAGTTGTTGAGTGAAGTAGTCATGTGGGCATCTTGCTTAATGACCACTATGCTCAATGACCAAGATTTCAGTCCCAATTGTGATTGTTAGGCAAGGACTACCTCTAATTTAATATAATAGTAATTACTTTGAAGTTTAATGTAGCACCTAACTGTATATTGAACTATTGAAAATAAGAAAATGGCTCTCCTTAATTAATGGCAACAGGAAGATACAGCAAGCATTCAAAAGAGTAGGAAGTGATTACAAGCAGGCATTGTTCTTATCTGGAGTTCAGCTCACATGGAATATTAAATTTACTGTGCCTTCTTTTCTTTTGTAACTGCTATCATAGTGTTTCTTTCAAAGACTAAATGTAGTTTTGCAGGTAGCCTGCTTAAAAATAATACACTTATTTATACTTAAGCAGTGTTGTTTGTAGTATTACATACTGTACAGAGCTGAAGGAATCACTTGTTTTACATTGCAAAACTATGTCTGCTGTCTGTGTTGTCTTCTTAGCCAGAACCTCCAAAGAAACCATCAAACTGGAGACGAAAGCACGAGGAGCTCATAGCAGCTATAAGAGCAGCCAAAGGAGTAGATCAGGTTCTTAAAGAAGGTGGAAAACTGCCCCCACCCCCACCTCCTACTTATGATCCTGGTATATAATTTGAATTTGAAGATGTATATAAATTGCAGCATGTGTTCGTGCAATATTACAAGTTTATCAATTCTCAATGAGTAGGCAGTTAAAAGTATAAAAAGTATACATGATCACTGTGCTTGTTTAGGACAGGTATCTCTATATCTGAAATCCATCTTTTGTTCAGAGCAGTGTTTTTCAATCTCAGCAACATTAAGATGTATGGACTTCAACTCCCAGAATTCCCCCAGCC